TACAAAGAATATATATGGCCAGGAGGTCTGACTTACAGATTCTTCCCCTGAACTGAGAGATTCGGATCCTCTCCCTCCACCCTGCTTTAGCTTTCGCCATCAACAAAGAACTTTAAACAAAGCATCCATGGCCTCTGGAAGGAAGAGGTAAGCAAGCAGCTCTCTCCTCAGAGTGCACGCAGGTCAGGGGCAGGTAGATGAGGGCAGGATGGAACGCTGAAGGCAGGTCCCGCTCCTCCTCAGCAGGGCTATATGGCAAGACTCCAAGTCTGAGAAGATGGCGCGCCCGTAATTTAAGCAAAAATACATTCCAAAGTCAAAGTCCTTTGCCTTTAGCACAGACAGATGCTGAGAGAGGACTATGCAACATCTAAACCACGGGCTGCTTTCAGAGCCAAAGCCATTTTCCTAGCAAGATGTCTGTTTCCTTCTTTCTGTATTCACACCTTGTGTATGGAGGCTACAGGCCTTTCTGTTTCTAGGCTCTTCCCCCTTTACCTTACCCTCCACATTTCTGCCAGATAACTATTGTTTTTTTGTTTTTGTTCTTCCTGATTAACAGAATAATATCTGCCCAAGGCAGAAAATCTGGAAATACAGAAAAGTATAAAGTAGCTGAGAAAGAGGAACACATCCCCCAACATCCAGGAGCTGGCCTGACACTAGCAGTTTGGCCTTGGTGTTGCTGGCCGTGGTGTCTTCTTGTTAGACAGAAACAACTGCACAGAACACCAACATCAGGCAAGGCCAGTCTGTGACGGAGATGGATCAAGAGAAAACAAGACCACTCAGTAATCATGTCTGAACACAGACAAAACGTGAACATTATTCAAGCCACAAAAATGACCAAACATCCCGTCCTGGCAAAGATAAGTGACTGCTGCTTCTTTACCAATTATAGCTTTAGCTTCGGTCCAGTCTTCCCTCTTCTAGGTAAGGTTTATTAAGATACGCAATCACAGAATTAACCCTGCTTTCTGACAGCAATCCAGAGCAAAGCCCTGCTTCCTTAAACCCTTCCCAAAATCTAACACAAACTGAAACTGTGTACCTAAGTCCTTTTTCAACACCCTCTTATTGAGATGGCCCACGTTCTCTCTCATTATGGGGTAATAAGCCCAACTTGTTCAACTACAGGCGAGCTCCTGGTGGTCTTTGGCTGGAGGATTGACAAAGCAGAAAAGAAAATGACCTACACTCCTGTCCCCCAGAGGCAGGCACTGTGTGTCATATTTCCTTCCTGACTTAGTTTTCTTCCTATTTTTTTACTGGCTGAAACTTCGAGGCTATTCAGTAGCCTTCTTTTATCTCCTCTCCTCAGGAACAAATACGTTTGTGGATGTTGTGTAAACATGACACGATCTTCTTATCTAGAAGGCATGTTCTTTATAGGAAGGAGTTACGGCTTATATTCTTGGTCTCCTCACAGTATACACAAAATCAGGCCACAATAAATAAATTAGGTCACAATAAACATTTCAGCTCCTTGCTCCCAGATCCTTTATTCTGGTGAATAAAAACCAAACCAAACCCACTGTCACTGAGTCAATTCTGACTCATAGCAACCCTACAAGGCAGAGTAAAACTGCCCCATAGAGTTTCCAAGGCTGCAATCTTTACCGGAAGCAGACTGTCACATCTTTATCCCACAGAGCCGCTGGTGGGTTCCATCTGCTGAAATTTTGGTTAGCAGCTGAGTGCTTTAACCACTGCACCACCAGGGCTCCTGGTGGATATCACCATGTATTCAGCTGCCCAATCTGAGAGTTCATCCTTTTTCTTTACCCTCATATCTATAGTTAATCCAATGTCCTGTTAATTAAAACCATCAAACAGCTCTCATATCTATGTCCCCTTTACTAGTCCCCTGAACCAGTCTTCATCTTACAGCTTTTAGTTTCGCCTTCCTCCAGGCTATCTTCATTACTTTTTAACCCACAAAGCTGATCGTCTTTCTTCCATGCTCAGAATTTTTCAACAGTTCCCCTTTACCTGTGGGATAAAATCTACCTTCTCATGCGTGGCATACAAGGCCCTGTCTGACCTGACCTCTGCTGACCCGAAAGCCTAGATGTTTCCCCAACCAGTACTTCACATTTCAGCAACACTAAACACGCACACTTTCTCGGGCCAGTGCCTACACACTGGCTAGAGTGTTCACCCCTTGCTCATCTGCCAAGCAAACTTTGCCTCTAGGAAGACCTTCCTGGCTTTTCCAGGCAGACTTAAGGAAAGGCAGACCACAGAGCCAACTGTATCTTATACGTACCCAGGGATTCTGTGTAGAACTGTGTTAGCTACATATCACATGTCATGGATTGAACTGTGTCCCCCAAAAATATCTGTCACTTGGCTAGGTCACGATTCCCAGTATTGTATCACTGTCTACCATTCTGTCATCTGATGTCATTTCCCTATGTGTTGTAAATCCTACTACTATGATGTTATAAGGTGGATTAGCGGCAGTTATATTGATGAGATCTACAAGACTAGACAGTGTCTTAAGCCAATCTCTTTTGAGATATAAAAGAAGCAAGCAGAGAGGGGACCTCATACCACCAAGACAGTAGCACCAGGAGCAGAGTGCGTCCTTTGGACCTGAGGTTCCTGCGCTGAGATGCTCCCAAACCAAAGGAAGACTGATGACAAGAACTTTCCTCCAGAGCCGACAGAGAGAGAAGGCTCTCCTCTGGAGCTGGCGCCCTGAATTCGGACTTCTAGCCTACTGGACTGTGAGAGAATAAGCTTCTCTTTGTTAAACCATCCACTTGTAGTATTTCTAATACAGCCACACTAGATGACTAAGACACCACATAACTCACAAGACTGATGTGAACGACTTCCCCAGAGTTGCACATACCTTGACTTCCCTAATTATGATAACATATCTGATCGTTGCATGACTCTTTTTCTTCTAGATTTGCTCATCTTTTCATCTCTAACTTCTTAGTGCCTAACACAAGGTTGTTAACGCCAGCCTCTCAATTAATAAATATCAAGATAATTAATGTGAAACAAACATCCCATATTTCTCTAGGGCCTCCAGCACTAGGGTGGTCCTACAAGCAGTCTCTCCTCTCCCTCTTTTGGGAGAGCATTATGAATATTGCCGTACGCAGTTCTGAATGATGATGGCCCAGTCAAGTAGAATCACAGAATCTTCCTTTGCCAACAATGAAAAAATACTAAAAAAAAAAAAAAAAAAGTTAAATACTTTATCAGCTGTAAACTTGACAAGTGGACGCCAGGAAAGAGAAAATTCTGGAGTGGCTGGTAATTAGGCCTCTAGCCCTAGGAAGGAGCACAGAGGAAGAATGTGAGTTGACAATATCTCGTGAATGTCCACTAATACTCCAATCTGGAGAAGCAGCCTGAGGAGAAGACATCCCTGGGAAAAGCTAAAGAAAAACCCTCAGCTATACCATCAAGGAATTTCAGCAGAATCAGGGAGAATTGCCCGGCTTGCCATCTTCCAGGGAGCTGTGCAGCTTCGGGGCCACATGGGAGTGAGATCCACTCTAGATGTATAAGACATTTCACAGAATCTCTCTCCGAAGAGAAGCAGCTCTGGCCTCCTCACAAGGGCTAACAATACCAACTTAGCTTCCTTGGACATCCAATGTGTAGAAAAATGGACAAAAAGCAAAAACTAGACTTCAAATTATAACTGCAGGGGTCGAAAAACTAGTTTCAGGCAGAGTGAGAAGGGGGATGGGAGAACTTGCTGTTAGAACAAAGACAAGGGATGGACGGAGAAACCCTCAATACGAAAAGAGAGCAATAAAAGGAAGAATGAAATAAAAAAGGAAAAATTATATCCACTTTAGATTATTAAACTGTCACTCAAGTATAAAGACAACAGGCAGACATTCTCAATCATAAAAGAACTCAAGGAATATAGCTGAATAAATTAAATAAGCTTAATGATAAAATATAGCCAACTGAAAGATAACTCAAAAAAAAAAAAAAAAAAAAAAAAAACAACAACTCAGAAAATACATAAAAGCTGTGGCAAAAGTGCTGGTTGTGAGTACTGTATCTATTTAAATATGAAACTAGGATTATGACTGTTGAAAAGACTGTGTGATGAAACTCAACAGAGGAAAAACAGACAGGGAACAAAAAAATGGAAAGTGGAAGAAAGGAAGTACAAGAGCGTTCATGATCTCATTTTCACAGCAAGGATGAAACTGGTGCAGTCCACCGTGACATGTACACCTGAGAACAACAGGGACTTCAGCTGCTTACTAGCTTCCCTGAGCTTTTTTTTTTAATCTTTAGAGTGATATTTTAGGAAATAATATCTTTTATGGAGAAGAAACATTTATCAGAAGTTCAATAATTCCTTTGGTTTTGCTTTCTTATAAATTTCAAATACAATTAACTTTACTTAAGTATTAACGTTATTCCTCCTCCTCCTCATTCACTCACACTGCACACACCCACCCATGCTGCACAGAGATGTGTGGAAAAGTGTTTGCACCAACTGTTAACAATGTGTGCAATTTGGGGTGATTTGCATTCTTCTTTGTATTTGGTATGCACTGCATATTATTTTTATAACAATAGTAAAGTAAAAACCGTACAGGTGTCTTAGAAGTTAGCATATACCAATATGGAAGACAGAATCCAACAGAGTGGTTTCAAAATTCAAAGTTTCTATTCCATTTCAAAATATGCTCTGTGAAAAATTTCTTAAAGTAACAAAGCTCTAAAATAACATAAAATACGATTAGAGTGGTATTTCAAATATATTAATCAAGAATTTAATGCCAAATATTCCCCGTTAGCTTACCTTTATTTTAAGCAAGTAAAAATGAGAATGGACTGTCTTTTCAATTATTTAAAACAGTTTATCTTCCCCTTTGAGAGATACATGCTGGATAAATATTTAAAGCTACAGAAAAGAAACTGCGTAACCATCCTCAATTACTAACTGCTATAATTTATCTAAAATGAGAGAAACACACACACACAAATATAGCATTTCCTTTACTCACTTTTGTGATAGTTTTTAAGATGGCAAGACGATCAGCTGCAGGTGGTAAACCAACAAAGAGTGTTTTGTCTAGCCGGCCTGGGCGCAGGATTGCAGGGTCAATGATATCTAGATAGAAGGGAGGGAAAAAAAAGTCTTAAATAAAACAGAATTTTAAAAAACATAATAGGCATGAAAGATGGAAGAGCCCATCTTATAAGCCTAATAATTCCCAACAATTCCTCAACCATTCCAGAGAAGCTTCATATAGCTCACAATGATAAAACCACTGTTCACATACAAGGCATACCTATAAATAATGAGATTCATGTTTTCTAATGAACATATTACAGGGTTGCTAAGACTTAACCATTACTTTACTTTTCTATAAAGAGACAGAATTAGTCATTTTTAGCTGAAATTCTGAGTCTATTAATGTTCTTTAGTCACCTTGGGGAGGCTAGATACTTATTCAATGATTTTTGCCAATGTTCAACACAATGTTAGTATTCCTCTGGGGATGCTAGGATATAATGTAAACTTGGAAATAATGAAAAAGATTACTGCATGACACTTTCAGTATCATGTTACAACACTGTCCAACAAGCTTGTCTAAGGGTCCCCTGACTCTACAGGACAGAAGTTCTCAAGTATTCTGGTCTTAGGATCCCTTCATACTCTTCAATTATTGAGAACCCTAAAGAGCCTTTGTTTTTGTGGATTATAGCTACCATATTAGAGATTAAAACAGAAAGTATAAAAATATTTGTTAATTTATTAAAAAAAAATAAACAATACATTACATATCAACATGAAAAATAACTATTTTCTAAAACAAAAACAATTAGTGAGAAGTGTGACACTTCTACATTTTGAAATGTCAACACCATAAAAGAAGGAAATAACATTCTTTAGTATTATCATGAAAATAGTTTTGACCTCACAGATCCCCTGAAAGTGTTCTCAAGGGTCCCAAGAGTCTATGGACAACATTTTGAGAAATGCTGCCATAAACACAGACACATCTGCTCAGGGAAGGACAGACAGCAAGAGCTCCAGGCCAAACGGTATCCTGAGACTGGTGAAGAGGGGAGGAACGGGTGTGGATGCGTGGTGAGAACTCCATCACCACCAGATCAAGAAGCAAACCAATACAACGGTCTTACCACTCTCACTTCAGAGATTTTTTACTTCTCCAAGTTGGGAGGGAAAGGGACATGTTGGGGATCAGTAAAAGTGCCGGGCGATGGGAGGAGGGAAAGTGTTACAAGTAAAGAAGTATTTTATACCAAATACAGCTTCACAGAGAAATATGTGGGCACAAATTCAATACTTTAACACAATTTTAGTATGTTTACTACCTTAATTTTCAACAGCCTATTTATTAGGTTATATTATTCAAAAATGATAAATTTAACTAACATGTAGTTCTCTAAAATACCTTAAAATCTATTTAGAAGTGAAAATATAAACTACACAGTATTCATAACACAGCATTGGTTATTTCTTTAATACAAAAAAAGTTTTTTGAGAAGATCAAAATTGTTCTCTCATTCACTCTTTTCCCTTTTACTGGAAAATTACGTAGCTACTATAGTCACATGCTCTATTTTTACCAATGTGATTGACTTTCTAATTTTATTGTGTAGCAAATATTCTAAAACTAAAAGGATATTCCAGCGTATAACTACAAAATCCAATGCAAAACAAATAACTCTAGGCAGGTAAAAGGTTCCAATTGCTATAATGTATGAGGAACAATGAAAGGTCCTAATTTCTTTTTCAAGTAGCCTTAAAAATATGAGTGGGTAATTAAAACTCCTGAGAGAAAACGCCAGTATAGTAGTATGATGTAGAACAGACAATAGGAAATATACTCTGTTTAATGATTCAAATCTTACTAGTCTATCTGCTCAAGTCACAAGTCCCTCCTCTTCAATGACACTGACAAGTATAGTCAGCACAGTTACTCCCCACCAAATGCCTGGACTTGTCTGAATTATATACCTGATTATGTTTGTTACCTTATCACATACAATGCACTTGTTTTAAACTTTCTAATTCTTTCATCTACCAAAAGATAGTAACACCCCTGCGCCCAGACACCATGCCATGTACTCTCAGCTGGCTCAGCGTTAGCAATACAGAGAGCACTTACTCACACTTTCTGTACTACCGTTGCTATGTTTTATCTTCTTAAGCAATAGCAAGACAGAGAGGTAAAAGCAGACGCTTTCAATTCAGACACACCTGGGCCTGAATTTTTATTCTGCCATTTACTGATAATGTAATCCTGAGCAAATTTCTTAATACTTCTAATTCTTCCCCAACTGTAGAATAGGGATAGTAATACCCAATTAACACTTTTGTTGTGAAGATTAAATAGTTTACGTAAAGCACCTCACTCAGTAAGTTTTGGTTCTTTGGTTAGAGTTTTTGCCTTCAACAATAAACAAAGTTTCATTCATAATTATTAAGAGAATATAATACATTTTCTAAAAATGAGTCTCGATTTTTTCTTGGGAATTTTTAAAAATTATAATCAGCTTTATTTGAGGTATAACTGACATACAGTCAACTGCATATATTTACAGTGATACACTTTGTAGACACCTGTGAACCCATCACCATGATTAAGATAGTGAAAATATCCATCACTCCCACAGTTTCCCATGCCCTCCTCTCCTGCTTTTCCCTGAAGCCCTTTCCATCCTAAGTAGACACCGATTTGCTTTCTGTCACTATATATATTAGTTTGTATTTTCTAGAATTTCATATAAATGGAATCATACAATATGTCCTATGTTTTGCCTGCCTTCTTTCACTCAACGTTAAGTATTCTGAGATTCGCTCGTGTTGCTGTGTGTGTAAGTACTTCATTCCTGTTTATTGCTGAGTAGTATTTCACTTTGCGGATATACCACAATTTGTTTTTCCATTCATCTGCTGATAAACATTTGGTTTATAAACTCACAGCTTTAGGTTTTCATAGGTCTTTGGATCTATTTTAAGTTAATGCTTCATGTGATATGAGGTATGGATTGCAGTTCATTTTTTTGTATATGAATATCCAATTGTTTCAGCACCATTTCTGAAAAGACTATTCTTTCTTTACCACATTGCCATTATGCTTTTATAAAAAAAATCAATTGTCCATATACGTGTGGGAATATTTCTGGATTCCACTCTGTTCCATATGTCTATGTTTATGCTAATATCATGCTGTGGAAACACCTTACCTTTAACATACAAACACAGATCTTCAAGCCAGGTCTGCATGCCCCAAGAGAAACGGGATTAGAATTGCAAAGCACTCTTAGTTGAGGACTTCCGTAATCACTTAATATCTCTAACTGACACACACCACATTTACTATCACTCAGTTTATTATTTTTAAAAATTATTTACTTATTATACTTATGGTAAAAAAAAAAAAAAAGCATCCTAAGCACTTATTACAAATTTTAGTATTAGACAGTTTAAGCTATGCTCCACCAAAGGCTCCTGAAAAATTCTGTCATACATCACTTCTCACAGAAAATCTAGTGCTATCTGTCTAGAACTCGTATGGCTCTAATCTGCTTTTTCCACTTTGTTGTTAGCGGCTGCTGACTCATGGATACCCAATGCACAATGAGACAGGATCGCTGTGATCCATATGGTTTTCATTGGCTGATTTTCAGAAATAGATCGCCGGGCCTTTCTTCCAAGTCAGCCTTACTCTGGAAGCTCCACTGGAACCTGTTTCGCATCAAGGCAATACACAAACTTCCACTGACAGATGGGTATTGGCTGCGTTTGAGACGCACTGGCCGGGAATCGAATCCAGGTCTCCCGCATGGAAGGCAAGATTTCTACCAGTGAACCACCACTGTCCTCCTTTGTACTTTAGGCATCTTAAACTTAATACATTCAAGACTGAAATTCTTATCTTTTCCCATCTCCTCCCCAAACCTGTCCCCTACCTTTGTCTTCCCCATCTTGGTTAATGCCAACTCATCCTTCCAATTTCTCAACCCAAATCTTGCATGCTTGATTCCACTTTCTCACATCCACATCCAATCCATTAGCAAATCCTGTCAACTCTAGCAATACAATATATATCCAGATTCTTTCTATCTCCACAGCTATCATCTGGTTCAAACCACTAACATCTTGTACTTGGATTATGGTTACAGCTCCCTAACAGGTTTCTCTACTGTAATAGTGTCAGAGGCAGAATCCTTAGGTGGAAGACTCAAGATGACAATTCTTATATTTGCAACGAAAAACAGACATCAACCATCTAAAACTTTAAAGACAAAATCAGCGAAACAAATGAGACAGTTGCGTGAAGAGGAACTCTCCCTCATATCTGTTAGTCAAAAAGCACTTACTATTCTATAGAGCATTTAAAAAGTACTAAAATATAAGAGTTGATGGTAGCAACTTTCAACTTCAGGGAAACATTATTTTGTTACAAATGAACCCTCAATGTCTGTCTTTATTGTGGTAAATATATATGTAACAAACTGTATGCCATTTCAACATTCTTCACATGTACGTTAGTGACATTAATTACGTTTATCATGCGGTCAACCATTACCATCTACCTATTTCTAAATCTTCCCATCACCTTTAACAGAAGTTCAGTGTCTTCTAAGCAGTGAGCCCCCTTTTTCCCCTTCCTCTGAGCTACCTCTAGTAACCACTAATCAGCTTTGGTCTCTATACACTTGCCTATCATAGAGATTTCATACAAGTCGAATCCTATAATATTTGTCCCTTCGTGACTGATTTATTTCACTCGGCATAATGTCAAGTGACCCTTCTATTTTTGACAAAGGTGCCAAGACAATTCAGCAGGAGAGAGAAGAGTCTAGTCAACAAATGGTGCTGAGACAACTGGACATCCACATGCCAAAGGATCTATCTGGATGTTTCCTCGTAACATACACAAAAATTAACTCAAAATGGATCACACAGCTAAATGTAAGAGCTAAAACTATAAAACTTAGACGAAAACGTAGGAGTTAATTTTTGTAACCTTGATTTAGGTGATGATTTCTTAGATATGACATCAAAAGTGCACACAATAAAAGATCAATTGGACTTTATCAAAACCAAAGACTTTTGTGCTTCAAATGACA